TTGGGATTTATGCATTTTGGAAATGGAAATCGAAATAGTGTAAAATGGATGAACAAGATGATGGATGCAAGGTAGAACACAAACATAACACATAAGCCCAAAAAAATTAAAGGTAAAGATGGAATATTACCTACTCCTTTGCTATTTAACACTTGAATCTTCTTTCTTGGAATCTTAGTTCTTCAAGTGAACTTGAAGAACCTCAAAATGTGATCCAAGAGAGCCGAGAGAGAAAATGAGAGAGTGACTTTTGTTTCAATTGATTCAGTTGAATGAAAATGGTATAACACTTTGTTTATATACCATGGGCACAAAGTGTAATTTTAAATTGTCTTGGGAAGTCCTCAAACAATTTAAAATTAATCTTGGGAAAGAGCATTTATGTCAAGTCTTTGGTTTTATGGTTAATTCATAATTAGCCCAATTTTAATCCTATTAATTATTCTTACTCTTTAGAATAAAACCAATGCACTTTTGTCCCCATCATCAAATCCAATTCAATAATAACATTTAATAAATCCTTATTACCCTTGGTTAGTGCTAGCTATTCATAGATAATCATTTCTCACTAATACACTATTTCAGATGCAACTGTTTACGTCCGAACATCATTAATCCGATCAATGATATGTATTACTTTCTCTTCTTGAGCTTCGTTTTATGTGTGACCATTTTGGTTCACTGTGATCTAGCTGTGGGCCCAATATCAGATTCTGATATGTTTCGTTATAACTATTTATAATCGAAACTCTCACTAATTATGGTAGACGTCTAGCAATGTTCCATAACCCCCAAACCACAATGAAGTGTAAACTCCAATGAACCTATTTTGATTGTACATACCGTGTAGTAAAATCCTTTCGTTATCTAATTCCAATTCAGAATGGTTCATGGTATGTCAAAACCCTTAACATAATCTTTAATGAATTGTCAATCCATACAATGAAACTCGTCAACATGAAACTATGTTTCATCTAACATTCATTATACTCTGGCCAGAGATTTCATTTTTCCAATGTTTATTGACATTCTTCTGGGAACTGGAGATTGGACTATTTTGAGTTAACAAATCTCATCTTGACATCACTTGTCCTCGCACATGAATAACATATGACCAAATCGGCTTATTACACATGACATGATTAGTCTCGTGCTTATACACCATATGAACCATATGCATCCTATATTGATTCCAATCGTGATGTCTCAAGTCTAAGGATTAGTGGTACACTAGCACGATCCTACGATGCATCATTGACCACGTCCATGTGATTCATCGTAATTGGTCGTTTTTTATAAACAGTTCACTAACCGTTTATCCATGCTAATGTCTTAGTGACATACCTCTTATAATTACCCACACTAGTACCATCACATGATATTCAATGGAGATATTCAGCATGCCTACTATGCAATGTTATTGCCTAATTAACATTACTTGCGTAGGGAATTCTTCGATGATTTGATCTTCTGAAGATCCGTGTCATTTGGACATTTCACATGCAATATTAAATATAATATAAATGAAGCAGTAAATCAGCATGTGAAATAAGAACACTTTCTTTTATTCATAATACATGTACAAGATATAATGTCCTAAAACTGACAACACGATTGGTTCCTAGGGCATACACTAATACCTCCCTCCGACGGGGAATGCTAGTCGAAGGATCGGGGTCGTGGCGATTCAAGGAAGCCACTAAATTTTCAATCTTGAGATATTTCTTAGTGAGGTTATAGAAGCGGGTGAGGGAAATATCATCCTCAGATTGCAGTTACTTCCACAGGTCGATTTGTGGGTGAACTTCTGTAATAATAAGAGCTCAGACTGAATCTTCAGGTATATTAACCACCTTATTCAGCTCCCTGTGGATCTTGTCAATATAGGACTAGAAGGACTCATTCCTCTCCTACTGTATGTTGCTTAGATAGCTCAATGGCATTGAGAACTTCCTATTAGCCTGGAAGTGTCTCAAGAATAACGAGCTAATCTGCTGCCACGAAGTTAATAGATCCTAGTGGAAGCGGTCTAAACTAGCACTTGGCATGGGCAATCAGAGTCACTGCTAAGCAGCGACATTTCGCCAAGTTGGAAACTTGGTGAAGCTCTATGAGGTCGTTAAACTCATAGAGATGATCCTGCGGATAAGAATTCTCATCGAATGCTCGCATATCGGGCATTATAAACCTTGACAGGAGAGGAGCAGTCAACACTGCCAGAGAAAAGGAGGACACCTCAAAGACTTGTCCTTGCTCATTTTGCTGAGCTCTAAGCTGATCCAGAGCTCGTTGTAACTCTTCAATCTGAGAAAACGGAGCTACCTGGAGATCACTTTTCGCAACGTAGGTTTGCCCCTCACGATTGCGATTGAGGAAAGACCGCATATCGGACTCTTCCCACCTTAGCCAGGGCCTACGACATACCTTGACACACGCTGGCTGGAACCATGTGAAGGCATTGAATGGCTAGGGGAGTTATCCCGACCTCTATGGTGGTCAAAACCGACCCATGGATGGTGGGCATTTCCCTCGCAGTGATGATCGGAACCATGATTTGGGCGATAATGGGAGTCTCCTTGCCTTGCACTCTTGTGGGGGTGCACATGCAATGTGGCGTGGGACGGCTCATGATGCGACATACCACCAAGTAGCAAAGCCACAGGTATTCTACCCGCTACACGACCGGTATTCACTAGTCCCTTCAAGCCCTTTGGCCCATATTTGTCACCTGATTTCCCTTGTCTTTACATGTCATAGTGTGTGCGACATGGGCTTTCGCCCGTTTCCGCGCTTTCGCGCAACCTACAAGCATCTTCGGCGGTGGCACTGCCCTGTCAGAATTGGGCTGTACGACTTGATCCAAACGATCTAGCCTTCGGTTGTTGAACTTCTCCAGGTAATTCATCACAGCTGGGTTGAGCTGAGAGGTCGAGGAGATATCTGCCGTGGTACCCTGCGAAACTGGAGGTAGTTCGGGAGAAGTAACATCCTATACCTGAGGGATCTCCTCACTGTTGGTGCTAACTCGCTAAGTTTCAAGACCACGAGCCATTTGTTTGCGAGTAAAGTCGATTGATCAGAGATTCCTTATGAAGAGCAGATACTAAATCACGTCCTCCTTCTAGCGCCAAACTGTTGATATTTGATTTTGACACCAAGGACCCACACGTGCAAAGTGTTAAGCTGTTCTAAAAAATTACACGTGAATGATTATGATCAGATACAAAGACTGAATAATAAATGACATTTATGGTTTTTAAAGTGGTTCGGATACCTAAAGCGAATCCTACGTCCATTGTTTCTTTTATATATGAGAAATTACAATAGGTCACGTATAGCAAACAGCGAGTAGAGGTACAATAACTAGGTATTTAGAGAGAATGAGGATTCAGGATCAGAACCCTGAAAATGAGAAGGGGAGTCCTCTATTTATAGTAGAGGAATTCAAGGTAATGATTACAAATCTGCAATAGGTAGGTGATGTGCAAGTCCTTCCTTACCTCCCATTGGCTGATAACTTAGGAAATATCCTCAAATTACCTAGGGCTTGGACAGGTGTGCGGTCCTCTATCACTCATAGACAAAACTTGAATTTGCTAAGTTGATGACAATCATATTCTTCTTGTCATGGAGCGATGTGACAGCTCTTAGGCGGTACAAAACCTTCCTGAAGTCTAATTGGTGTCCACTAACGTAGGCTAACGTCAGCCCTGATATTTTAAGCATAACAAAAAGCAAACCAAAAGCAGTCCTAAACATTAAATTGACTCGATGAAACTCCCCTTCTTGTAGACCGAACTGCTGCGCATCCCAATCATCAGTAAAATATATGGAATTATGGCTGCACTCTGTTGGTGGAAAAAAAAAATGAGGAGTGGCATGCTTCTGATTTGGATTGTGTCTAATTCTTACTATCGAGCTATCTATAGCTGATCTCCATTAAGTACAAACAGAACGAAAAACAAAAAAGTCGCGACACAATGTAAGTCTGCGAACAATTTAATTTCAAGCAATATTTTATGATCGACGTCTGAGCTACTAGCCATTGTTGTGAAAACAAAACGATAAATAGACAACAAAAAGCTACGTAACACTAACAAATACTCTTCTACTGTACTTATAGCTTTATGCTGTGTCTCCTGAAGTGGTAAAGAGAAGTGTTTTATCATTGATTGTGGAATTGGCAATCGCTGATACTAAATTGGTAGTAAAATCAGCGATTATTCATTTACGGCTTTTCTTTTCTTTTTCTTTTGACTTACTAATAGAAGATTTCAGACTTGTAGTATAATAGAAAAAAAACACAAACCAAAACTCTCTCTCAAACCCAAGGCCACTCTCTAATCTCTCAAGGTGGTGTTAAAGTGTGGAGGTTTCATCCTTTTGAAGCTAATCTTCATCAATCCAAAGCAAAGGAGTAGGTATAATCTCTTTTCAAGCTTTGTTTGAAAACCGGTTTTAGAATCCATGCTTTCATGCTTTCATTCTCCATCTTCACCACTCTTCATGCATGCTGATTCTTTCACTTTAATCCCCCGATGGTTAACCATATACCCTAGGAATTTTCCTGAGGATACTCTGAATAAACATTTCAGAGGATTAAGTTTCATTCTATATCTCCGAAGCATGTCGAACATCTCTACGAGATTAGCTATGTGATTTGAAGTGACATGCAACTTGACCAGTATGTCATCGACATAAACCTCTATTGATTTCCCGATCTTCTCGAAAAACATGCAGTTAACCAAACGCTGATAGGTCGCCCCAACGTTTTTTAAACCGAAAGGCGTGACTTTATAGTAATACAATCCTCAATATATGATGAACGAGGTATGCTCCATGTCAAGTGTATACATCGGGATCTAATTATACCCCGAGTAGGCATCCATGAAGCTTAACAGCTCGTGCCCGAAAGTGGCATCAATGAACTAATAGATTTTGGGCAAAGGGAAACTATCCTTCGAATAAGCTTTGTTGAGATCCACGAAATCAACGCAGGTTCACCACTTGCTGTTGGGTTTTTTCACCAAAACAGGATTGGTGACCCAACTCGGGTAACGAGTCTTCCGAATGAACCCGATTGAGAGGAGCTTATCCACCTCAATCTTAAGAGCAGCATATCGTTCTAGGTCTATGGCTCTTTTCTTCTGGCAAACTGGCTTGACCTCACCATCAATGTTAAGTGCATGACATATTATATTCGGCTGATCCCGACCATGTCAACATGAGTTCATGCAAAAAAATCAATATTCTTCCTGAGGAAGCTCGTTAGATCAGTAGCGAGCTGAAGGCTAAGATTGCTCCCGATTCTTAACACACGAGTCAGCTCATTCTGGTTAATTGATACCTCAGATAGAGTCTCAACAGGCCCACTGTAGGAATACTCCTCCTGAACATGAGGGTCTATATTATCTTCCACTGGACCTAGCTGTGGTTCAATCCTGTTGATCGTCATAGCCTGCTCGGGAACACCCACTAGCTTCCCTTTTCCTTTGCATGTCATCTGCACTACTCTTACATAGCAGTCGCGAGATTCACGTTGAGACCCTTTGACCTCCCTACACCCCATCGGAGTGGAAAATTTCGTCTTCAGATGATAAATAGAGGTGACAAATTTGAAGTTTCATAGTAGAGATTGTCCCAATATACCATTGAAAGCGATCGAACAGTCTACCACCAGAAACTTTATCATCTTAGTCACTTCGTGGGTCTCACCCAAAATAACAAGAAGTGCAATTGTTCCCTTGGGAATCAAATGATCCCTACTAAAATCAGAGAGGGCGATAGAGGCAAGCTTCAGACCTACCTCGTCCCATTGTATTTCCTCGAATGCTTGCTGAAATGGGATGTTTACGGCACTCCTATTATCCACTAACATTCTGTGGACTTCGCACCAATCTATTTCAACCGCAATGACGAGTGCATCCTTATGAGGGTGATGTAATCGTACCACGTCTTTTTCTGAAAGGGTAATCTCTTCCTCTTTGCGTACCTTAGCAGGTCGTGACGCCATGTTCATCACACTCACGGGGTCATGGCGAGCTTCTCGAGTGTACTTCTCTTAAGCACCTCGAGAATTTCCTACAAGGTGTGATCCTCTGAATATAATCCCGACGAGATGGAGGCCCTTACTACCATGACACTTCTTCCCCCGGTCCCCTTGATCCTTCTCCCGAACGAGAGTTGGACCATCAACATACTTCTTGAAGTGCTCATTTTTAATGAAGTCTTCGATTGCCTGCTTAAGAGCTCGATATTCATTGGTATGGTGCCCATTATCCCGATGATAATGGTAATATTTCTTTCTGTTTCTTACTGAAGAGGGATTACTCATGGGCACTAGCTCTCCAAGCAAATTAGCTTCTTCTGATTTATCCAAAATAGTTGATACCGATGCATTTAGCGGAGTATACTGATTCTTATTGCGACGCGATGAAGGACCTGGGCATAAGACTTTTTGGGCTTAAATCACCACTTCTTTCCCTTTCTCTGATCGACATTAGCCCATTTGTGATTAGGCTTTCTACTACTCTCTCCTCGATTTTCCTCCCTCCGACTGGAAGCGCTAGTCGAAGGATCGGGGTTGTGGCGATTCAAGGAAGCCACTAAATTTTCAATCTTGAGATATTTCTTAGTGAGGTTGTAGAAGTGGGTGAGGGAAATATCATCCTCAGATTGCAGTTTCTTCCACAAGTTGGTTTGCGGGCGAACTTCTGCAATAATAAGAGTTCGGACTGAATGTTCGGGTGTATTAGTCACCTTATTCAGCTCCTTATAGAACTTGTCAATATAGGACTGGAAGGACTCATTCCTCTCCTACTGTATGTTGCTTAGATAGCTCAACGGCATTGAAAACTTTCTATTTGCCTGGAAGTATCTCAGGAATAATAAGCTAATCTGTTGCCACGAGTTAATAGATCTTAGTGGAAGCGATCTAAACTAGCGTTTGGCATGGGCAGTCAGAGTCACTACTAAGCAGCAACATTTCGCCAAGTTCAAAACTTGGTGAAGCTCTATGAGGTCATTAAACTCATAGAGATGATCCTACGGATAAGAATTCTCATCGAATGCTCGCATATCGAGCATTACAAACCTTGACAGGAGAGGAGCAGTCAATACTTCTGGAGAAAAGGGAGACACCTCAGCTACTTGTCCTCGCTCATTTTGCTGAGCTCTAAGCTGATCCAGAACTCGTTGTGACTCCTCAATTTGAGGAAGCGGAGCTACCTGGGGATCACTTTTCGTAACTTGAGTTTGCCCCTCACGATTGCGATTGAGGAAAGACCGCAGATCGGACTCTTCCCTGCCTTAGCCAGGGCCTTCGACATACCTTAACACACTCTGGCTAGAACCATATGAAGGCATTGAATGGCTAGGGGAGTTATCCCGACCTCTATGGTGGTCAAAACCGACCCGTGGATGGTGGGCATTTCCCTCGCAGTGATGATCAGAACCATCATTTGGGCGATAATGGGAGTGTCCTTGCCTTGCACTCTTATGGGGGTGCTCATGCGATATGGCATGGGACGGCTCATGATGCGACATACCACCAAGTCACAAAGCCATAGGTATTCTACCCGCTTCACGACCAGTATTCACTAGTCCCTTCAAGCCCTTTGGCCCATTATTTGTCACCTACTTTCCCTTGTCTTTATGTGCCATAGTGTGCACGACATGGGCTTTCGCCCGTTTTCGCGCTTTAGCACAACCCACAAGTGTCTTCGGCTGCGGCACTGCCCTGTCAGAATTGGGCGATACGACCTGATCCAAACGATCTAGCATTCGGCTAACCGTTTGGAGAGTATTGTTAAACCTCTCTAGGTAATTCATCACAGCTAGGTTGAGCTGAGAGGTCGAGGAGATATATGTCGCGGTACCCTACGGAACTGGAGGTACTTCGTGAGAAGTAACATCTTGTACCTGGGGGATCTCCTCGCTGTTGGTGCTAATTCGCTAAGTTTCACGACCACAAGCCATTTGTTTGCAAGTAAAGTTGATTGATAAGAGATTCTTTATGAAGAGTGGATACTAAATCACGCCCTCCTTTTAGTGTCAAACTGTTGATGCTTGATTTTGACACCAAGGACTCACACGTGGAAAGTGCTAAGCTGTTCTAAAAAATTACACATTAATGATTATGATCAGATACAAAGACTGAATAATAAATGACATTTATGGTTTTTAAAAGTGGTTCGGATGCCTAAAGCGAATCCTACATCCACTGTTTCTTTTATATATGAGAAATTACAATAGGTCACATATAGCGAACAGCGAGCAGAGGTACAATAATTGGGTATTCAAAGAGAATATCAAGTCCAATCTCTTTCTCGTGGATTATTTTTACTCTAAAAATAAATATTACAATCAAAATGAGGGTTCAGGATCAGAATCCCGAAAATGAGAGGGAGAGTCCTCTATTTATAGTAGAGGAATTCAAGGTAATGATTACAAATCTGCAAGTGGGTAGGTGTTGTGCAAGTCATTCATTGCCTTCCATTGGCTAATAACTTAGAAAATATCCTCAAATTACCTGGGGCTTGAACAGGTGTGCGGTCCTCTATCACTCATAGACGAAACCTGAATTTGCTAAGTTGATAACAGTCATATTCTTCTTGTCATTGAGCGATGTGATAGCTCTTAGGTGGTACAAAACTTTCCAGAACTCTAATTAGTGTCCACTGACGTAAGTGATTTTTTAGACATAACAAAAAGCAAACCAAAAGCAGTCCTAAACATTAAATTGACTCGATGAAACTCCCGTTCTCGTAGACCGAACTGCTGCGCATCCCAATCATCAGTAAAATATATGGAATTATGGCTGCACCCTGTTGTGGAAAAGAAATGAGGAGTGGCATGCTTCTGATTTGGATTGTGTCTAATTCTTACTATCAAGCTATCTATAGCTGATCTCCATTAAGTACAAACAGAACGAAAAGCAAAAAAGTCACGACACAATGTAAGTCTGCGAACAATTTAATTTCAAGCAATATTTTATGATCGACGTCTGAGCTACTAGCCATTGTTGTGAAAACAAAACGATAAATAGACAACAAAAAGCTACGTAACACTAACAAATACTCTTCTACTGTACTTATAGCTTTATGCTGTGTCTCCTGAAGTGGTAAAGAGAAGTGTTTTATCATTGATTGTGGAATTGGCAATCGCTGATACTAAATTGGTAGTAAAATCAGCGATTATTCATTTACAGCTTTTCTTTTCTTTTTCTTTTGACTTACTAATAGAAGATTTCAGACTTGTAGTATAATTAATATCATGTATGTTATACGATTATTAATATATTTCTTTTTGGAGAAAAGAATACGTATTATTCCATTCCACTCGTTTTCTGTCACGGTGAGAAAAGCTTTGTTAGAAAAACATCTCATACTTCACTTCTCTTTAGTTTTATGAAAATGACCAAATTATTGTCACTTATCAATGCAGAATTGGAGAAATTAGAAGATATATTGCACTGAAAATGGAAACACGTAATCATTTCTGATAAAGAGAGCACCAGAAATCTCAAACTGAACGGGATTAAGCTAAGAGAAATGATAGGGAGAATAGAGGAAAATAGTAGAAGTAATATTCTCTGGAGTTGTACGTGACTTTTGTCAATGACAACAGAGAGAGAGAGAGAGAGAATAGGCTGTCTAGATAGTGTTACAATAAAATTTCTAAGAGTCCATATCCACATCACTTGTGTCAATAGCATTCAGCAATTGAGATATTCTTTCACTTAAGTCATCGATTTCTCCATGTAACCTCCTGATGTAATTGCATGCTTCCTTCAAAAGTTCTTTTGCTGCTACCTGCACCAAAAAAAATATTATTTTACACGTATCCGAATTCAATTGATATGGATGAAAATATTTATCAGTGAATCAAGCTCAAGCTGTGTCCTCTTCATTGTGCCTTGGTGCTTGGTATCCATATATATATATATATATATATATATATATAGATATTTGACAAAAAATTTGCACCTAGCAAAGGTTTTCTGAAATCAATTCGAATAAAAACTTTCGAAGAAAACTTGAAAAACCGTATTACAGTTACCTTCTACCATTAATTTTACAGTTATCATTAAGCAACTGGATATAGCTAATAACTGAAAGGATCAAAAGGAACAAGAAAAAGAAAGCCAAATACCGTTCCATGTGGCCTTTGATTAAGCTGCGGGAGTAATGGTTGTAGCTTTGAAATTAGATGATTAATCTTATCTTCTGTGGGTTTTGCAGTCCTTGATGAGCTTTGGCTAGACATAACTGAAGCTTTGTGCTTTCTCTCTTTTCACTCTAGATCTTCGTATCAGTGGTTAGGTATTCTGATGAGACATGTAGAGGGCGCTTAAAAAGAGAGTGGAGATTGGAAAAATGGACACAAGGTAGTTGATAGCAACATTAACAAAGACTTTAATGATTTTGATGAATTCAATCAGTTCCCATTTGTCCCTCGTTTTAGCATCACATGGTCCTATCTTCAAGTGGGTCCTTGCTAATTAAGTACATCAACTTTTGTCTCTTCTCTCATTTTCTTTATTAATATTAGTGTTAATTCTTCCATAATCCAACACGTGTTTGTTTTACGTTGTATTTTATCAGTTTTGGTTTAGACATTTACGTACGTGCTACCAAAATGATGCCTTGATTCTTGTTTGTATAATCGAAACTCGACGGCACAGCCCCTTCTTTGTCTATACCATTGTTCCCTCTCTTGTGGAAACATTGACGTTTTAGATTCACATTGTCATTAGGTTGTTGAGGACACCCATGAAAATCTAACTAGATTTTAAATGATTGAAGAAATTAAGGAGTCAACAGTTCTTAACCTTAATGCTGTAGCATTCATATATGGAAGTGTTTAATCAATTAGCAATGAGTTTAGTCCTTTGTGTCTGTGCAATTAAAGATGAAAGTGAGAGTGATGTGACCATGCATACACGAGAGAAGAGAAAAGATGAATGACTGAACTGTTCATGAAAACGGCATTAGAGGTGACAGACAAAGCTAA